GTTAACCTGTGTATTTATCTTTATTAGATAGATTACAGTAAATATCCCGTTTAGTACCAGGCATTTGTCAGTTACCCAATCTAACCTGTTGGACACGTCCCCTTAGCGGGTGAATTTCAGTTCATAAGTAGGGGGTGGCATTATGGTCAGGTGTTGAGATTTTCTTTTTCAAGTTTGAAAAATGAGGAAACCAAGTCAGCTTGGGAGTTATATCCAGTTACTTGGAAACATCTTCAATCGGAGACCGTTTGAATAGACTGGGTTCACTAAATCGAAGGTAATTTCTAACGGCCTAATCTACAGGAATATGTGCTGCTTTTATCAGTAACTGTCATCATATTGCGTATGTTTGGTTGTGATGCCTGTCACTGGTATAGCCTCATCAGACTGGGTGACATGATGGCTACAGTGGGCATCGTATATTTGTACCCTGGCGGCATTTTGTTGGTGTGAATCTATCTTACTTGATAAATAACAATAATAATAATAATAATAATAATAATAATAATAATAATAATAATAATAATGCACACAACCACTATTAACTAATATTCCATTAATAACCGGGATATTGGGAATGATTAAAATGAAAAATGGCACATACGTTAAGAAAATCTTAGTAAACATCACTACCTGCGTTACAAATGATTGTACTCACGAGGTCCAATCAAATACTCAGAAAAACTCTTTTAACGCAATCTGCTCAATTACTTCATAAAAATCCTTCCTTATCCCACAATTTGCTCAGCTCTCTATCAATATCGAGATATTTCCTTCAGATTTGCTCTATGTCGTCTTCTGGAAAAGCGAAATCCACGATCTGAAACATTCTTTTCTTGCTGTTTATGATTACCAGATCCGGTCCTCAGTCTTGAATTTGTTGGTCAATTTTAATGTCAATACCAGAGGAATTAATGTTTTTCGCTCCAAGACAGATTCTTGCCTGTGCACATGCCATTAATCCGTATGGCCCAAAGGCAGTCACTTGCACAGTTCTCGGTAGCTTACCACCACCCAATCATGCTTATTCTTGCATTCTTTTTAAGTCAACTTATTATATTCAACTTATTATATTCGCTTAATATTCACTCTCATTTGTATGGGTAGGTGGGCTAGATATTAAAAATTTCAGAATCTTTTAGGAGGGTTTTTATGTGCCTCTCATGTTATTATCAGTTACTTAAGTATTAAGGATTATCTACATTGGAGCTTAAATGCCAAAAAGCTTTCTTAGTAATCCAACGGTCTTTTCAGTATCTTAGCTTTCCACAGTGCCATCACCTGGGTGTTTAAAACTCTTCCACTAATTTAAATTCTTACAGCCTTTTTCAGGCTCTTGGGGATCTTTCCCTCTGCTCAGATAACAACTGGCATGACAGTCATCATATTTCACAACTCCCTAGCTCTCTGGCAAGCTCAAGATACTTCTATCTTTTTACTTTCTTTTAGATCTACTTGCTGGTCCGACAGAACAGAGATATCTACTAATACGTCTTCTTGTTTCTTGTTTTATGCACCCTGTGTCCCTTGAAGACGTGAGTGAACAGATCTCTCAACAACTTCCTGTCATTTGTTTCAAAAATCTTCTAACCATTATGGGAAGATGAAGATATTTATCTATCTTTTTAATTTCTTTCAAATCTTCTCTAGGATTTTTCAGAACAGAAAAATCAGCTATCAAATAGTATTCTTATTTTTTCTTTTATGTACCATGTCCTTTGAAAACGTGGGCAGTCATGACTCTTCACAACTTCCTTTCTATTGTTCCCTAATTTTCTCATCATTCTGAGAAGGTAGAGATATCTCTATCTTTTTAATTTTTTTTCAAATCTACTCTATGTCCATCAGAACAGAGAAATCCATTATTTAAGACTTCTTCTGGTTTATTCTTTTATGCGCCATGTCTCTTGAATACGTGTGCGATCATCGCTCTCCACAACTTCCTGTCCCTTGTTCTAAAATTTTCTCATCATTTGAGGGAGGTTGAGATACTTACCGTTTTTACCTTATATATCTTCTCTCTAGTTCGCCGGAGCAGAGAGATCCATGATATGGTTTTTCTGCTTCTTTGACTCTATATTCCTCCAAACTGTAAACTAAGCACTAAGACACCAGATCTCCAGTACCTTTCACACAGCTTTAAAAGAACTGTAGTTTGCATTGTAGATTTTCCAAGAAGACATTCTTTGAGAAGTTTCTGGGAAGTTGCCAGTAGTTTATTGAATATTGGTACAAATCTTACTTTTATAATCTATAGATTCTAAATCTCGTGTACGAATTCTGGATATTCTTATTTCTTTCTGTTTTTGTTCCACTGCCATAATTTCTGCTGTTTTAAAGATTCCTTGTCGATTGTAATTATGTTTCGTGTTCGGGTTTGGATGGAATCATCAGTTTGCTCAGAGAAAATTCACAGCTGCTTGCTTTTCGCGCCAACTTGAAAACCATCCATTTTCTTGACTCTCTCTCTCTCTCTCTCTCTCTCTCTCATTTTGATTTCTTTTATTTCTTACTTATTTATCCATATTCAAAGCCTCATCTAGGATTTACTTCATCACCAGGACTCTTAAGTCTAAATCCTACAAAAAAGCTGGCTATGTGTTGTGGGGACCTACTTACAAATGGACTCTTCCACACCTATATAATATGGCTACCAACTTTGAGTAGAGGAAGTCACCGAGTGAGAATCACCGAGTAGTAGACACCGAGTGAGTGAATGAGTGAGTCAGAACACCAGTGAGAGAAAGTACTCTCCAGTCCACATTTACCTTTGTACTACGTTTCCGAGAATATACTATTTAACCTTATATCCGAGTCCGTGTTATCTTTCTATGGTTCTACACCATAACACTATGCAGATGAACTATGCTGCCAATGATGTTGGAGCCTATGTCAATGCCTCTAAACCTGAATTCATAGGCGTCAACTAGTTTGTCAATACAAACTGTCTCAGGTGAATCAATAAAATCTTTTGAGTTTTTTACATACCTAGAAAGTGGTATAAATTATACTGAAAAGGGTGTGAACATTTGTATAGCTAAAACCTGGGCCGCTTGGAATAAAATTGATGTAATCTGGAAATCTGATCTACCAGACAAACACATGTGGAAATTCTTTCGAGCCATTGTAGAGGCGGTGTTAATGTAAGGTGACGCTGTTTGGACATTAACTAAAACCCTACAGTTTAAGCTTGATGGAACCTACACTCGGATGCCGAGAGCTATACTTAACATCTCCTGAAGACACACCCAACTAAATCATAGGTCTATGGACCCATCCCTGATATTTCTACAATCTTACGTGAGCGCAGAATGCATTTTGCCGGACACTGCTGCCGAGCAAAACAAAAATTCGTGAGCGATCTACTGTTCTGGACACCTAGACATGGAGCAAGATGAGTTGATTGCCCAGTAACCACTCACATTGACCAACTATGTTATGACACAGAATGTCACCCTAATGACCTTCCGTCTATGATGCAGGATTGTGATGGTTGGCATGATAGACTCATCAATGTCCGAGCTAGCTCGACCGAATAAATAAATAAAGCCTCAGGTGAATTGCTGCTCATATCAAACCATTGCTCCGTTAGCACTCTTTATGGGTTAATTAAACAATCATAAAATATACATAAATTATTACTGCATCAACCAATTTGCAATAAAATATGCACTGTCTCGAGTTTGATGCATTTTGCCACTGACGTAATTGGTTAACGAGAATTAAATCGTAGGATTTTAATACTATTTTTTTTATACTATTTTTTATACTATTTTTTTAATACTGTTTTTCATAGTATTGACCCTCGGGTCAATACAAAGCTCAAGAGCAACTCAAAGTATCTGTAGGAGGCTATTGTAAGGGCGTAACATGAGCAATTAAGAAGTGTATAGTATGAGAATATGTAGGATTGATAATGATTGACACTAGACATGAAGAGGTTAAAATCTTAGTGATCGAAGAAGTATCCTTTTAGGAGTCTGTTCCACAAAGTAACAATTCTGGAGAAGAAGCTATCCGAGTGTAATTTCTTCCTTGCCAATGGAATACGAAGGGAATGGGGATGAGTTGACCTTGTATACATGGCATGGTGAAACTAAGGAATGTAGCTCGTCTGAACATCTGCTATGAAAACAGCGATAGAGTAGCAAGATGCTAACAACTTTTCGTCTGTAGGGAAAGAGGTTGTAGAGTGGAAGATAATTCACCATCCACAAAACCGCGTAAACAATTTTAAACGCTATCAAGGCTGGAAAGTAAAGACTGGACGACTGCAGTCCAGGTATGGAAGTGATACTCCATTTTGGTCTGATTTGACTCTTGTAATGATAGAACGTGTCAGGAGTTTGGTACTTTTTGAAATGGTACAAGGAACAGGGCGTTTTCCCAGCATCTTTGGCAGGTGAGCTTGAGTTCCAATACCAAAGCAAGGCACCTCAATGTGAGTACAACCGTTCATCATAACCGGAGAGAACCCAGGGTCTGCTCGGTGATGTTGAAATGTTACTAGCGTGATTTTTGAGGTACGAGTTCATCCCATACAGAGCTGTTAGAGCTCGGTCAGAGGAGAGAGCAGCTGCCAGACTCTAGTCATCTAGATTTTGGGAGGTGCACCTATAAACCGTTTGCACATATATTTACTAATCATCTGAGAATGTTCTTAGGCAGATCGTAAATATAAAACAAAAAGAGGGAGATAACTTTGGGGGACGCCTGCATTGACCCCATGGCCTTCAGAAGACTGGCCACTAACAACGATTGTCATGGACTTATCTGATGGGAAGGACTTGATAATTGTGAAGATACTTCCGGAGATAGCATGGCTGGCGATTTCGTCTTACAATCCTTGTTGAAGGCCTTTGAGATATGTAAGGTGATCGAGTTGGTGATATTTTCTTCAGGTTCAAGAGATACTACAGTTTCTTTCATAGTATCGTTTCGTAACGATTTTTATAGTTTCTACTTTATATTTAAATTTTACTTATTGAAAGCAACGAACTTACAGTCATATCATGTTGAAACACCGGTTCTCATACGATCATCGAAGTTAAGCAACGTCGAACTTGTTCAGTACCTAGATGGGTGACCGCTTTGGGATACCAGGTGCTGTACGCTCGAATGTGCGGATGGCGTAATAGGTAGCGGCTCAGAACTGAAAATCGGAAGTTGAGTTCCAATTCAAGTCTGGTTCGTTATATACATTGGGAAAGTTATGAATCCACTTCTTCTCCCTCCATTTATGGGTTAATTAGTAGAAGATGTATCAATAAAAATCATTATTATCATCAAAAAATTCTTATAATCTAAAACTATTTTCTCGTTCTGAATAACCCGCAAAAGGTTGATAAGCCGTTAAGACAAATTAACCAATGAATCAACAAGTCAACCTGGAAAGCACCGTTTCTAAGTGATTATCAAGAAAGCTTAAAAGACTACTTCTGAATCTTTCGGGTGAAATCCTGGAACAGTTCTACTTTTTCACACAAGTCATGATTTGCCCCGCCAACATAACTACGTTTCATAATTATCACGTTTTTGATTGGATAAAATTATGTTCTAATTTTTTTGTTTGAATGATATTAGTCAGTATGTATCTTAAAATCCATGAACAGATTCTGTTTTGTGTTTACTCAGTTGTGTGCGCACGCGCGTTGTGTGCCTGCGTGTGTATGGTTGTGCACGCATGTGCTGCTACTATAAAAGTGTTGGCAAAATTCACACGATATAACTGTTTTCATATTTCTTTTTTACTAATGTTCATCTAATACAAGGCCCAAGAGCCACTCAAAGTAGAGTTTTACTGTGTGGTATTGTATTGGCGTAAGATAGGAGAAGAAGTGAAGTTCTTGAGGGCTATGCAGAAAAGATAACGTCTAACTTGAAGAGGTCAAGATTTAATTAGCGAATAAAATGTCAGAGTTCAGGCGCAGACGTCAGGAGTATAAAGTTGAAGTAGACTTTAGAAGGAACTGGAAACCCAATCCTAAACTGGAAACAAGGGATAAACCTCTATTTCTGTTCAAAAGACCGAAGAGGAGTGTGAACTGGACGATTAGGGAACCTATCTACTTCTTATGGGCAGATACAGAGATCTCTCCCCGTATCCCTAATCCAAGTTATGACACCCAGAGCATTTGGGAAGTTTCTCGGGACTTCTGCTGACTTACAGGTGTATTATTAACATCTGGCATTGATTAGTTGGTACTATTGACATCTTATCTGGATACTCTTCATTTAATGGTTGCATATTAATTTGCCAAAGTAGTTCTGTATTTTTGATCCGTTTTTTTAAGGTGTTTGCCAGTTTCTTAAAGGGATCTTTTATTTATCAACTACAAAATTTTATGTAAGAATCTGAACGAGCATATAACTGGCTAGCATTATGTTAAATTACCTTCCCATCTCTTTTGCTTTTGCGTCTTGGAAAGTTCGAACACTAGACTTCGATACATCTTAGGAAAGAATGTAACAATCTGTATCTGCCCATAAGGAAACTGTCTAGGTTTTATATGATGACAACTTTGTGTCATGACCTATATTAAAAAAAAAAAAAATTCGGCTGAATTTGAATTTAGTGTAGGTCACATTTGATTGGTTAATCATGGCAGAGCTTATAAGTCTATCTTTAAAAAAGTATTCTGCTTTTTGAAATTAGATTAATCTTTCACTCGCCAGTAGTTTAACAACGCCAGAAGAGATACATTTATAGTGTTGAAACATAATTCTAATTGTGTAGCGATTTTTAACATGTTTTGATATCCTTACACACACACACACACACACACACACACACACACACACACACATATATATATATATATATATATATATATATATATATATGTATAGTGTACGAAAAATATTTTCATTTTTTTCACAGGATATATCTGAAAACGATGACGCTACTGCATACTGATGGGAAAAATAATTTGATCACACTGAATATGTGTTTCAATTTACTCTAGATTAAAAGTATCCGTAATATAACTGGATTACAGTAATTGCTCTTATATATATATATCAATATTTGCACTGCAAACCCTTCCCAACGAACACAACATCGCAAGCCTATCGCTATTTCCATGGCAAATGTTGACATAGATGATCTAGTATAACCGAAAAATACAATATAGAGAGCTAAAATATATGCCTGCATATAGAGATCTATGTATTGTATAAATATTTTTGGCACATCAGTCAGTTATGCGTCATATACGCTTAGGCGATCAGGTACCTTTAAATACATGGCATATTTTTTTTCCCGCAGTAGGTTGCCATTTCTTTCAGCGGTAGATAAGTTGCCATCCAAGGCTATAGAACCCGGTCTATCCTGCTATTTACCCTTAGGTGGGGAGGTGGAGAGAAGGTATTAGCACGTAAGTGAATGTAATGGACTCAATTTGGAATTCGAACTCGGCTCTCCGATTCCTCAATCCGAGCCGCTATCCATTAATCCACCGTTTTGATACATCCCAATCATATTTTACTTACAATGTTTCCCGTGTGAGGTTCTGGTAATTTTCAACAGTTTTCACTCTCTGTCTGAAGTTCACCAAATTCATTTTGCTTGATAGGGTAGATGGTTACGTATTTTCTATAAGCATCAGCAGTCGGTGTTCGAGACAAAGTAAAACCAGCATTTTGAATGCCGATTTTTAAGGGTGTCACGTAAATTCTCGCTTGGTCTTGATTGGGTTCAACAAAGCATCTCTGCCTCAATTTCTTTCCCTTATATTTTACCTTAGTAAATATTAAAAGTAAGAGTTTCAATATATATGATAATGAAAAGGGAATAACGAGTGTCTTATATAGATGGCGTCCATCTTGTACAGAAATGTCTAAACTATCATCTATATACAACCCTTTTCTTAGATCAACTATTAAAAAGAGCTTCAAGTATATAAATCCTTTAGGTTATAAAGAACAGGATCCTTTAGGTTATAAAGAACAGGATCCTTTAAGTTATAAAGAACAGGATCCTGCATAAAATCTTTTAGACGGGCGCAACAAAATTACAAATCCCCTGAATCTATCTTTTATATCTATAAGACTACTATTCGTCCATGTTTAGAATATTGCTGCCACATATGGTCTGGTGCTCCTGTCATATATCTAGAGATCCTTGATAAAATCCAAAGAAGAGTCAGCAATATTATTGATCCTGATCTGGTGTCTCGGCTTTAGTCCCTTTCCCACCTGTACTTTTTTTTTTTAATAAATACTTACACGACAACTGTTCAGACTTTATGAATTTAAGCGCAATACTAGACTGGTGACAAAGTCTCACCAATATACAGTTGTGTGTAATAGATGTAAACGTAAGCTCTATGCTAACAGTTTCTTTTCTCGCACTTCTCGATTGTAGAACTCACTTTTGCCTCTATGCTTTCCAGCCAATTTCAAAAATGTAAATGCAATGTCAATCGCTATCTACTATCCTCCTGATTACCTTTCTTTTATCCTTTCTCTTTAATAAAGTTTCTGTTTTCTAATTCTTTCCCACCCAGTAACCTCTTGGGTCCTTGTGGCTTTACTGCCTTGCTTGGGGTGAAATTGATTTAAAAAAAGTTTCGTTAAATAATAAAAACTATATCACTTGAAGATTTCCAACAGCAGCAACAACAAAAATGGGTAGCACATGCAACTAGATTGATTCGTTTTTTACGGTTTATCAACCTTTTGCAGGTTATTTAAAAAACCCAGAAAATACTCCTGTAAGTCCTACTAATTAAACCATAGCTGAGAGGAGAAGAAGTAGAAGTAGAAGTCTCAACGGTATTTGTAAGTGAATATAACGAATCCGTCTGGAATTGGAAATCCGCCCTCTGATTTTCAATCCCGAACCGCTATCCATTACACCAGCCGCACATCCAAGCTTACAGCATCTGGCATTCCCAAGTGGTCATTCATCTAGGTACTGACCAAGCTCGATATTGATTAACTTCGGTAATCGTACGAAAACCGAGGACTCAACGTGATATAACCATAAGATTATTGCTTTCAACAAAACTGGAATAAGTAAGAATTAAATATAAAGCATATATAGAACTATAAAAATCATTAAGGAACGATACTATGAAAGACGCTGTAGTATTGATGATACTCGGTATCGCTTGGAGTTGAAGAAAAACTCGTTACGAAAGCGATCATCTTACATATCTCAAAGGCCTTCGAAAAGGTGTCGCATCGGGAGATGTAACAAAAAATCGCCAGCTATGGCATTAGTGTCTTTTCAGTTAACAAGTCTTTCCCATCAGGTAAGTCCATGACAGTCATTGTTAGTGGCCAGTCCTCTGAAGTCTTTGAGGTCAATGCAGGCGTGCCTCCTCGGTCCTATCCTTTTTCTGTTTCGAACGAGGACCAACGTTTCAACCTGAAATCACCGTAAGAGAAAATAATTATATAATCTAGATGTTAACTTTCCACACTACCAAAAACTAAAGGTTTGGAAGGAAACTTTCATCAGTACTAGAAAAAGAAAAGATAAAAGGGCGCCTGAGAAGTCTAATTTTCAGAAAAAAAAAAAAAGATTTTCTAAATTTCAACCGACATTAACACTAAATGTTCAGTTTCCTGTATTGGAAAATTTCACCATTACCATTTAATATATTTATGAAAAAAGTTGACAGATATTAAAGATACAATTGATGATTGTCTTTTTGACAACATTACATTAATACATGATTACCTACACACATTATTTTTCCTTAACACTTTCAGAGAATTCCACGATTTTGACAGTATTTGTATCTTATTTAGTAATAATAATAAAAAAAATGCCTGAGAATTCATCTCTTGGGAGCGTCGTTTGATACTTTGGAATGATGGAACACGTTATTTTCAGGAGCGGGTTCCATAATAAATAACATAACAATGTTATTCAGGCTATAACACTCCTCTCTTTTACATGAGTATTTGTTGTCCGGTTAAGTTTAATTCATATATATGAATGCCAGCAGGATATGACTGAATACGCAATATATTAATTCCTTTTCAATATAGCCCTAAACGAAAGATAACTTCTAAGTTAAAAATAAGCGCCTCTGGATGTAAGGGACATACAGCATATAAGGTTATTGCAGAGTTTACAACAACTAGATTAAACGTTGAAC